CAAACCTGCTAAGAATATTTCGTTTGTACAAATTTTTATGTTGTATATGCTGAATTGGTATTGCTTCTCATATATCTGTTGATAATTTTCTTCGTGTCCGGACGACTTCCACTTGGATCATCAAGCTACAGTTCTTCAAGGGTAGTTCGTCAAGCGAGAATCCGCAACATTTGATGTATTGATTGTACATATGTTCGTGTTAAGTAATTGAGTAGCTTCCAATTAAGGTAATTGTTGGTTAAGCTTGTTAATATCTGGACGTTCTTCAAACTACAATCGTCAACCTGTGAAGGGTTGTAGGCGTACTGGTGTAAGTCCTGCGATTCTTCAAAGGAATTCCACCAAGACATCATCCGCGAGGTTATTTGTACTGTTTGTGTATACGTGTGGTGTGTCATATCAATTGGTGTATTTTGGATTCATTGTGTTTACTCGCTGTTCTCGTACCTTGTTGTGATTGCGTAATTTTGTTAAAATTTTCGTCGTGATTACTTCTGAAGTTGTTTCGAGTCTTCTACATCCGTGAATGAATTGATTGATGCTAAGGACAGCAGATGGGTCGTATACGCCGGGGAGGCTAGGCTATTGCTGAGAATGAAATGCACACGGAGATAATTGTTAGCTGCGGTCCCACACGCCAGGGAGCAAGAGTGTAGACGACTGAGGCTCGCATACATCACCGTTACTAGAACTGAGGCAGAATGAGTGACAAGCGATTTCAGTGGTAATTGGTAGTGAGTAGATAAGAGGATGTGCGTAGAGTATCGTGAGGTGGTGCTATGGTCACGTTGCATCTGCCAGAGTCATTCTAGTAAGTGGCGATTGTGTTGCAAGAGGATGCCTTTAACTGGAAGGCGTAGGTCGTCATCGATGTGTGAGATTGTGCTGTGAGTATGCTTGTGGTGTGTTGGCTTTTCTGTTTGTTTTCCATTTCAGCTCTGTCCGTGTGACCCAGTTTCTCGCAATGGCATCCAAGTCAACGTGTATTGGTCGTGATGGAAAAAAGGGATGGGTGCATTTTTTGCCGGGGAGTGTCAATGGAGTTGAAGATTGAACGATCAATTCATGGTTGTTTGCTCAAAACCAACTTCCCCAATTTTTGCGGAGGCATCAATACGACAGTCATCGTCTCATCGGTTGCTGTTCAGAAAGAAGTCAGTAGACAACCGTCAGAAGTAATATTGTGATTTATTATTGTAATATTTGTTCACAGACCTTAGTGGAATTATTTTTTATATGTTGGTGTTACAATAAAGAATCCTCGAGTCAACAGTTGGTGTTTTGGTGTTTGCGTCCCAAATCATCTACTGCTGTTATTAAAGAGTTTGAAAATGATAAAGTTGACGGTAAATTGAATATTTGTGATAATGATCATGATAGTGCAGATTTGTCTTTGGTTGATCATGATGAAGTGAGGGGAATGCCTACTCCTGCTAAGTTGAATAAAGTTTCTGTACAACTACAACGTGAATTAGAATTGAATGCAGTTGCAGAAGGTATGGATACTTGTGAGACCGTCAGTGTAATTGATCAGCATGTAGCCCGCCTATCATCAGATGATAGTGCTAAACCGGAGCTGATAGTAAAAGACAGCATTGGTGGTAATCTTGCAGTTAGACATCTATCTGAAATGGATGGGAAAGTTCCAGAATAATATCCGGTCAAGGGTAAAATTAATTAAAATTAAAATTAGGAGTTAGAATGCCATAATAAACAGTGGGATGGATAAAACAAACAAAGTAGCATCATAATAACTAAGAAGATAGACATTGTGCAATTAGGGGTTAGAAATGTAGAAATAATAATATAGACAGGATGTTTGGATAAAAACTAATGTGATGAATAATTGTTTATGCAATCACGGATTAAATATGTAGAAATAGTAAAATGACAAAATAAACACTATGTTCGGGTATGAAAATATCGTAGTGTAAACAGGGATTAAGAAGAACTTAAAATGACATGAATAAACAGGAAGTTTAGATAAGAAAGGAGATGGGATGGTCATTACTAAAAATTACCTGTTTATCATGGCCATGGCAGGGACAGGAGATGGACGTATTTCTTTTGTATACAAAGCGTGGGTCTGAAAGTCGATCAACAACAGCTTTTGATCCACCGCTAACTTCATCAACTGATATCAATCAGTCGTCGTTAGTGCTGTCATCCACAATGAAACAGACACCCTTCAACTCAAGTATCTTGTCCAATGACTATGCTAGTATCAGTTCGTTTGAAAGGACGAATATCAATGGTCAGTTTAGTGAGGATAAGCCAAGTGTAAACGAGAGAGTAATTGTTAAATTGACTTGCACGAATAAAGGCATTTCTAGTTTCAAGTTACTATTTGAATGTTATGATCTTTGGTGTAAATTACTCTGTTTCTATACTTGGTTGATGAGATATGTCGTGTGTTTGTTCGTCATCTATATTCTACGATACAATGACATGAGCGTGTTGCCGTTCAGATTTGAGGATTTAGCTCATAGAAGGAAGTCAGCAAATGAACTCTGCGACGATTTTCCAACCTAGAGCGTCAACCTGAGAAGGGTTGTAGGCGTACTGCTGTAAGTCCTACAGTTCTTCAAGGGTAGTTCACCAAGGCAGAATCCACAACATTTGATGTAGTGATTGTACATATGTTTGTGTTAAATAGTTGTGTGAGTTCCAATTATCGCAATTGTTGGTTAATCTTTTTTGTGTCCGGACATTCCACAAATTACAATCGTCAACCCGAGAAGGGTTGTAGGCGTACTGGTGTAAGTCCTGCGATTCTTCAAAGGAATTCCACCAAGACATCATCCGCGAGGTTATTTGTACTGTTTGTGTATACGTGTGGTGTGTCATATCAATTGGTGTATTTTGGATTCATTGTGTTTACTCGCTGTTCTCGTACCTTGTTGTGATTGCGTAATTTTGTTAAAATTTTCGTCGTGATTACTTCTGAAGTTGTTTCGAGTCTTCTACATCCGTGAATGAATTGATTGATGCTAAGGACAGCAGATGGGTCGTATACGCCGGGGAGGCTAGGCTATTGCTGAGAATGAAATGCACACGGAGATAATTGTTAGCTGCGGTCCCACACGCCAGGGAGCAAGAGTGTAGACGACTGAGGCTCGCATACATCACCGTTACTAGAACTGAGGCAGAATGAGTGACAAGCGATTTCAGTGGTAATTGGTAGTGAGTAGATAAGAGGATGTGCGTAGAGTATCGTGAGGTGGTGCTATGGTCACGTTGCATCTGCCAGAGTCATTCTAGTAAGTGGCGATTGTGTTGCAAGAGGATGCCTTTAACTGGAAGGCGTAGGTCGTCATCGATGTGTGAGATTGTGCTGTGAGTATGCTTGTGGTGTGTTGGCTTTTCTGTTTGTTTTCCATTTCAGCTCTGTCCGTGTGACCCAGTTTCTCGCAATGGCATCCAAGTCAACGTGTATTGGTCGTGATGGAAAAAAGGGATGGGTGCATTTTTTGCCGGGGAGTGTCAATGGAGTTGAAGATTGAACGATCAATTCATGGTTGTTTGCTCAAAACCAACTTCCCCAATTTTTGCGGAGGCATCAATACGACAGTCATCGTCTCATCGGTTGCTGTTCAGAAAGAAGTCAGTAGACAACCGTCAGAAGTAATATTGAGATTTATTATTGTAATATTTGTTCACAGACCTTAGTTGTAACATTGTTTATATGTTGGTGTTACAATAAAAATCCCCGAGTCAACAGTTGGTGTTTTGGTTTTTGCGTCCGTTATTACTAAGCGTTTCCGAGAAACTTCAAGGAACAGCGTGAGCCCGAGCGTAGCAAGAGCTGGGCATTAACGGTTTACCAGAGGTGGCAGACAACTTGCTTCGGTGAAATTTCTCTTTTCAGTCAAATCTACTGGGGATAGAGACCAATAATGACTGACGTCTTTTGGAATTTAGTCTACAGTACTTATCATTCAACTGATCGAAATATTTGTGGAAACTATTGTTTGACAGCGGATATAGAATGAAAAATCAGCAGATGTTGTGAAATGCGTATTAAGTGGGCATACCGGTAGGCGATGTAAAGTAAAAGTCAGTAAATAAAGCTAGTAAATATCCAATAAAGATATAAACAATGGACACCACCCAAAACTCACAGGGCACAGGAATTACTTTGAGAAACGTCCATTCGGAACTATGCTGGGTGTGTCACACCTCAAACTGCAATGCTGGAGCTTAGGTTTTCCGGTATCTTCTCGAGTTTTTATGCTGTGATGACCCAATTGAAATCTCGAAAACTTTGGCGAATATGTAGCCAAGCTGTTTCTTTCCATCTAACAACCTGCCTTCTAGAGCTGTCCCATCTCTATTTAGCTGTGACAAGTGGCGCTATCGACGTCAGGTTATAACACCTACCGTAATGAGGAGTGCACTAAATACCAGTCTTCTGCAATATGGTGAAAAAATGTGCAGTAAAGAGTGAAAGCTCTTCAACTAGGAAGATAATTCTGATTTTAAACATATTGCCATTTTCTTACAATTCTCGAAGGATGTAAAATACAACAGAGCTAAATGTGTGCATGACCTAGTGTTACAAGTCTTGGTGTAATGGTATGCTGACTAGTCCACTGCAGCAGTTTTGGTTCATGTCACTGATTCCTTTGTCATTTTTTCCGTCTTAATGTCAAAAACCAGCGTTATCATGGGCACCGTGTAGTAGCTCACCTTACAAAAACTCGAAAGACGGCCGAGTTAAAGATTCACCAACTAAAGGTACCTAGTACGTTTTTTGAAATTTTCACATATTCAAGATTTCTCGTCTGGTATAACTGAAGCAGGAAAGCCATAAGAACATGAATAATTTAGTGACTGGGTAAATAGGTTTAACAAGATTTTTTATACGGTCGAATGAGGCATTGAAGATTGAAACAGATTTCTGACGTCTTGTTTGAATCCACTTTCCAGCCTGTGTTTGGATCTCTTGTAGGAGTTGTGGGTGTTTTGCTATCGAGGTTGTTGTTGCTCCCCTAAACCTCATGTTTCCCAGCAGACCACCTGTAAGTTTTGTCACACAGGTTTTTTTATCACTGGGGATTCATGTCTTACACAAATTTCTTTTAGGTGCCCACTGGGCCAGGCGGTTCATGCAAGTTCACTGTTGTGGAGACTTGTGATAGAATAAAAGAGGAATTCAGTTGTATGCAGCAGCAAAATCACTCGTACGAGTCTTTATTTAAATGACTACCATTTAGACTGCAACTCGAGAGGGAAAAGCTTATCAGTGAGCGGTCAGATATACAGAGAATTTGTGTGATGTATTATGAAATGGCCAATGGTTTGAATTTAGAAATGCACAGACAGGTATCTCATTATATACTTTTAAACTATTGTTAGATGGAAATAGCAAAAAGGTTAAGTGCTATACTTACTCAAGTGCTACCATTCCTGTCTCAGGAGGTAGGTGTTTCTTAATGGTACCTTATCTTCTCAGCATCAATCTCAAGTTCTGTCAGCTGTTGAAAGAGCAAAACAGGTTACAATGCAAGAATTAAACTCCGTTTTGGCTGTATGTTCTAGAGTCTTCATATCTTATTTATCACCTAGGCACAAATTGAGGACGTAAAGTCCTCGAAGTTTTTCAATGGGAACACCATGGGTCTCCCTTTAGAACAATTTGAGGCCTACAAGGTATTTTCGGTCATAATTAATACAGTTTTGTAGCAGTTGTCTGTTATGGGAGGAGCTAACCCTGGGGTTTCTGGATTACATGGTTCTAATATGTCTTCAAGCCATTCAGCTGGCAACACATCGTCTAGCACTCCTGGGTCTCTTCAGTCTGCGTCAATTAATGCACAAACGTCAGGTTTACTTCCTTCTCTTTCCCCGTCTGGTAACCCTTCAGTATCAGCTGCATTGTTAAATGGTTTGATGTCTGCAGCCGGCGCGTCTGTAGGACCAGGAGCTCTAATGCTCAGTCTTCTAGTTCAAGGATTTCTCCCCTAGGACGTGAGGCGGAAAAGTTAATGACTAATGAGGATAAACAAGTAAGTCCCCTTTTTGTTGTGCTTCACTTTGTACAGTCAACGCGCCCTAACGACTTGTCACTCATTTCGAATACCCCATGCTCATTCCTCAACGCATACTTAGCTAAGGCTATGGTGGTCGAGGTCGTTATTTAAGGAAATCGTGTGCGGGAAAATATCAGGTGCAGTGTATGACCATATTTCTGACTTCTGTCGCAAGACTGTGACCTAGTCATAATGACTGGCAAAATGCAACGTACTGTGTATTTTTGCTGAGGCCATCGTTCGTCTGTTGCAGCTTTTGGAAACTCTTAAGTTGCGCAGTTTTGTTTACATAGGGTAGGGTGTGATTCCAAAATGTTGAAATTGCTGGATGGAGTTGCAAGTTAAAGCACCCGAGGCAACCATCAGTCTGAGGTGAAACACTAAACAGAAAGCATCTAATTAACGATCATTTACTGAGACAACGAAGCTTATTCAAACTATCATGAGAAAACTTTTGCAGACCAGATTATAGCACTTTAGAAATATTTTTCTGTGTCCTGTGTTTAGGTATCTGTCGCTGTATGGGGAATAATAACTAGTGATATACCCATCCACCACACTGTTCAACCATTGAAGTCATATCGATTTTATATCGGAATTACAGAAGAGCATAGCGGTGAAAAATCTAGCGAAGCGACAGACTTATCTGAAACCATTTTCTTATTAAAGAAGTACTCACTTTTCAATGGCGCAGATGCATTCATTCTCTGAGGTCTACACCATCGAAAATAAACCCTATTTTTCTGTGTTATCATTCTTTCTCCCTTACATTCCTGCTTATTATCGTTCTTTGGAATCTCTTTTTTGCCTTCCTTTGTGTGCTACATGGAGTATGAGAACCCGAACTGTTGCACTTCTGTGTAAAGTCCTATGCTCAAACTGGTCAGTCACTTTAGCACATATTGATATACCGTTCGAGGTATTCTGACGGAACGACACTTAGTTCGGAAGTAGTGCACGCCATTATTATCGAAAAACGTCCCATTTCAATGGCGTGAATTATCAGCGCCATCCTACCAACGAAAAATTGGAGGCTGTATCAGTTGTTATGTGTATATACATATCCTTTTTGAGACGTTTTAAACGTCTCATTGAAGTTGGTGAATTCTGACTGAAACACCACGTAAAAGCTTTCTATAGATGCATTATGGTGGGCCGTAACTGGTAAACCATAATCTTTTTCCCAGAATTTTCCTTTAATCACCCATTTAATGCTCTCATCTCAAGTAGTTGATATTTACACAAGAGCGATATAAAAGTTTAACATCGTCAGTAGATAGCGAAATGCAAGGTATATATTAAATGGTGCTATCTGTAAAAGCGGTCTTTAACAGGCCATGTCGAAATCCATACCTCCCAGTTGTTATTTAAACCAATTTATGTCATCTTGACAGGTTTTGGGCGGAATATTGGTTAGATTTTTTCCTGTAAAAGCTCCATTTTGTCTTAACTGAATAGTTGAACGGGGGAAATTGTATATCTGAAAGGGCTGTAGGTGTGTTCACGTTTTTAAGACGTGGGCTTTTAATGTTACCATCAAGTTGCGGTTTTGTTCTCTCAATAGAACATTTCGGGGAAATGCATAGCAATGGTACATTTTATATTGTAGGAGTGACTACATACGATTATTTATAGACAATCCGCCTATCATGCTGACTAGTTATACCACGGTAAATAAGTAGTTACCTTTACCTAATTATGGCGTGCCCCCATTATTTAAGAGTTGCGAACGGACCGTAGACGTCAGCAAACAGTAGAAGGTTCATATCCGTGTACTGTTGGTCGAAGTTGAGTCAATACTAACAAACCACCCGCCCTCGTTCTCTGGCGTTTTGCCAGCAATTAATGAAATTCGTTTTATGAGTAGCATAAAATGTTTAGTGAATATTTTGAGATAAAGTTGATTTTTGACTTGTAGGGAATTTCTGAAGTTGGTGAGTATTAGATTGAAGTGGTGCTTTTGCGCTCAATACTTGTCCGATTTTAACAGTTTTATCGTTTGAATGAACCTGAAAGCAGCCTCGGTGTGTGATCTGAATTTACACGTTAGGGACTTCAGGTAACTATAACCCAGCTCGCAATAGTGTATTTTCTTATAACTTATAAGTGATTTCCGTTTAATCACTTATTAATATATTTATCTATTGATTTTGCATACGTAGCGTGCTGCTACTGCCGCTGCAGCAGCGGCGGCAGCAGGTAGTTTTCTGCTGTCCAGTCGCTCATCCGGCAACGGTCCATGCCTAGTTCCACCACCACCAAACCCCATCACTGGTTTGTTAGGCAGTTGCGGTGAGTTCCCTGGCTTTCCTGGTGCATTCCCACTTAGCGCAGGCGTAGGGGGTACAGATATCGGTAGATCTCTCTCGTCAGTCCCACCTCTTTCTCAACAACCTTGTCGAAGTTCATCCACGGATGATACCGGGGGCCGACAAAACAACTCGAGTGGCATGCAGTTAGGATCTTCTAATTTCGCTGGCCTTCCTCATTCTGGCTTATCTGCATTAACCAATCCTTTGTTACTTCCCCCTCCAACAACTCCAACTACGCCCGGTGGGAATTCGGCGCAAAGTAACTCAAATCCTACAGGAGGTTCAGTTGTGGATGAGAAAAGACGCAAGCTTAATGACTCGAAGGTAAGCTGCTGAGTAAATATATGCAGACTTAAAAGTTTCCCGAATATGTAAATTAGCTGTTAAAGTTCTTTGTTGCTATATTGTTTTCACACATGTGGCTGATCCACTATGTCGGTAACTTGTTTGTCGAATACTGATAAACGGACATTATCAATCTTATTACTGATGGAAATTAACATTATTGTGTCGTTAATGTTTGCGTTATTTGTAATATGCGCTTCTATATTGATATTCAGTTTTATGATAGTTAAATGTTGGTCTCTGTACAAAGTCCAAAACCAGGGAAAGTAACCCTTCAGCATTTCATTTAGATTTCCTTACATACATCATGACAGGAATGGTCTTCGATCTTAGCTAATACAAAACCAGGAAGTATAATCTGTCGGGCATTCAGGGAATTATCCATGTTTTTGAGCTAAGCCTTATGATCATCCTAGTTCATTAGCGGTTAAACAAATTTGATGATGGCAACAAAAATCAACTCACTGGACATCTAATATACAGAGTTGTTCGACGTTTAACTAACTTTGAAATACAACAAAGGCTAAGGAGCTTGTAGGGCTTAATCCAGATGCATTCATTAGGCCTAATTCATTTTGGATGTTCTTCAAGGAACGAAATATTCCTATATTCACCTATAAGAAAAAGGCGTAAACAGTGAAGAAAATTTTCTTTTTGACGATTCATTTTCATGAGCTGTACAATCTTAATTATATTTAACAAGGAGATATTTAGACCAATCAAATACTGGTAAACTTTGTCCTCGGAAAGCGTATTACATAATGTAAGGTTTGTCTGTCTGTCTGTTTTTGACATAGAACTTTGCACCGATGTGCGGCAGTTCAAGTCGCCACACTCTATGAAGCACAAAAGCAAGAGAAGAAGTAGATGAAAGGCATAATAGAGACAGTAAACAGAAGTGTGAGACAAAGGAATAATAATAACGAAGAACAATATAGTTTCACTGGAAATCATAAGTCACACGGAGTGGATGCATCTGCGCCAGCCATTGAGGACGATTTTGAGCCATGTCACCTATTGTTTCCAACCATTGGTTTTTACCGTCCTGAGGACCCCAACTGGGAAGTCTACACCTTCCTACGTGACTTAAACTAACTGTTGTGGATTTCATTGACTGATGAAGCCATGTTTTGGTTTGACCACCACTAGCTCTTTTCCAGCCTGACCCTATATCAGCTAACATTGCCCATTGTCGAGGAAGGCAATGACTAGGCATACGTAACACATGTCCTAACCATCTCAGTCGATGTAATTTCATAGCCTTGTCGATTAATTTCCGCTCCTTACCTAGCAGTCGACGCTTAACCTCAATATTGCTCACCCTATTATACCACTTCACACGAGAGATAGAACGCAGGCACACATGATCGAAGACAGCTAATCTTTTCATGTCTTCCACTCTCAATAGCCAGGTCTCATTGCCACAGAGGAGGATGGAGTGGACTACTGAGCAGTACACACGCCCTTTGGTCGATAGCCGGATATCACGTCTACTAAGCCAGACGCCGTAAACTGGCATATGCGAAACTAGCCCTCTGTATCCGTGCTGAGATTTCGTCAGAGACCAACCCGTTGGGGCTGATGTAAAATAATATTAATGATGTAATGTAAGATTTAGGAAGGGATGACTAATTGTAAGTTAGAAAAGAGGCAGAAGCCGGCAAGACGTAATAATTGTGAGATAATGACTGATCAATAAGCTCGTGTAGAATGGACACGAACTAGTGGAAAGACGACAAAGTCTTTTTACATAAAATATGTATGAAAAAGCAATGTTATTAATAAACATCAATAGAGTGGTAATAAAGTATGGATGATGGGGATAATAATAATAAAATTATATTAGTGATAATAGTAAACTTACATAATAAAAAAGAAGCAAAATTATAGTAAAAAATTTACTCTGACCGCTGTAGGTCGAGTGAATGTAAGTGGCACTTTGGAGTGCAGAGGTCCAGTTTCAGATTCCGAATAGCTAATACTTTAGCTATTTACAGATGGCGTATGAGAAGTCCCTTTGTTCGATATTGAAGGACTCTGCGTAGCACTGTGAAGCATTCGTGCAGGGATGCTCGATGTCCGGAGATGACAAGGTGTTCGAGGATGGAGCTGCTGCTATTCTTCTTTTCTCCTCTGGCTACCCAAGCTGGACAATGTTCCAGGATACGTTTGTGGGCATGACATTGCGTACGGTCGATACACTTTGCCCCACACGACTGATTTAAACTGATAAAGACACACTTAGTTTCCCAAAAGCCGTATCTTATCCTTGATGTTAGACTGGATTATAACTGTCTGCTGGAGAATGTGATACGTAAGGTGGCTGCTGCATTCAAAAGCGATACATACATTCACTCGCTCCACCGTGGTCAGAGTAAATTTTTTACTATAATTTTGCTTCTTTTTATTATGTAAGTTTACTATTATCACTAATATAATTTTATTATTATTATCCCCATCATCCATACTTTATTACCACTCTATTGATGTTTATTAATAACATTGCTTTTTCATACATATTTTATGTAAAAAGACTTTGTCGTCTTTCCACTAGTTCGTGTCCATTCTACACGAGCTTATTGATCAGTCATTATCTCACAATTATTACGTCTTGCCGGCTTCTGCCTCTTTTCTAACTTACAATTAGTCATCCCTTCCTAAATCTTACATTATGTAATACGCTTTTCGAGGACAAAGTTCACCAGTATCTGATTGGTCTAAATATTTCTTCGTTAAATATAATTAAGATTGTACAGCTCATGAAAATGAATCGTCAAAAAGAAAATTTTCTTCGCTGTTTACGCTGCTTTCTTATACTGGATGTTGTTGAAATACGGGAAATTTCCACATTCAGGGACATCAGGAGACGCTCGTCAGAGTTAATGAAAGCACTTTTTGTGCCTCTATTTGAAACCATGCAATTATGAGAAATTCTGAAGGGTTTTTATGCATGGCGACGATGATCAGTGGTATAAAGCAATGGTGTTTGTTATTACTGTTTCCATTCCACATCTTGTACGTAATGATGGTGATTACTGGTCTTCACTGTTAAAGGAATGCTCATGAAGCGTTTCGTTGACATACAGTAGGCAAATGTCGTGATTCTGTTCGATAAAACACTCTCTGTGACCATCTTGCAACAGTTGCAGGTCGGGTGCTACTATTATACATCTTAAAGGTTGGGTGTAGATAACCATAGCAAATATCGTTGATGGTTGCCGCTAGTCGTGATGACCTCACTGATCACTTCTTGTTTTCCTTATGTTATTCATGTTTCTTAAAATTCTAATTCAGTCTTAGTTCAGATTACAGAACTTTTCATCGATAATTGGATATGTTTGTAACTGAGGTTTTATGGCTGCCATTACCCTCACAGAACACACGTGTAAAAGAATCACACGTATGGTGTACGTTGAAAACTAACCATCCTGAATTTTACTCACAAAAGTGCTGGACACTAGGGTTTCTGGTTATTTAGTTTATTTGATATACCAGATGCAGCGTTATTTTCTGGATGACGTTCCAAATACAGTTTATTGCTTATGGTTGTATCAAGGGATGGGTTTTAAAATGGTCCTGTATTACTACGCTACATTGTCAAATAGCTTTACCGCAGCCTTCAAGTTTATTTTTTATTAGTTAGGTTTTGGAGAAAGAAATTGTGATGTAAGATGACTCTCTGATTAGGGTTGTAAAAGTGCGTACTCTATTAATAAGAGATGATGGTTTCAGATCAAGTGATCTGCATATCGGCTAGATTTCTCGCTACTGTACAATGCAAAACCGATGTTTTACTTCAGTGGCTGAAAAGTGTGATGGATGGGTACGTCTTTGTTCGTGGATCCTCCTGCCTTAATTTGCACGCTTGGTGGTTCTAGCACTGGTCATCTGATTTGTTCGAAAAACGCATTCTTCACTTGTAATTGTGAACAAATTACTTCGTATCTGGTTTTGCGCAAAGAACCTGCGGCTCTTGGATTGTGTGTTTCGAAACACCTCGAGTTTAGTTTGCTTACATTGTTGACATTGTTTTAGTCTAATTAAATGAATGCATCAAACGCTTCTTTTTTCGTTCGTGTGAATATGGTGATTGTATTAATAAGAAATGAATATATTTAAAATGTATCATCAACTTCCAGACTGGAATTCATTTACGCAACTTAGATTTAAATATAAGCAAATACATGATTAAAATAGCTTAAGAAGGTCGGGTATGTTTGATTAGCTTCTCCCTAGCTTTTTGTAGCTGCAGGTTTAAGTTATGGAAACTGTGCTGCAAGTAGTAGATCCATTTCGTATTCAGTTGTAAGTATTATTGACTGTCGCAATTAGACGATGCGTAGTTGGAATCCCGAAGACCAGGAGTGCTGGTTTAAATATATATCCTTTTTATAGAAGGTAGTTTAATAGAAGGAAAACGAATAGTCGGTATGTTTTAACTTCATGAGTCAACCTTGAAAATGTGATATGGTGTGTTTGTCACAGTTACTAACTTGTCTTATAAGACCTTTCAAGAGGATTTACATCTTATGCTTAAAATTGTAGGAGAGTGGACATGAAAATGGTAACTGGCGAACAAATGACGATATGCGCTCTGTTTCGGTAAGTTATACTTACTCAGTTGGTTTTTTCCATCTGTTGAAACGTGCACTCTCACCTCAATTGTTATTGATTTGGATTGTTTCAAAATTTTCTGTTCGTCAGAAAGTACTGTTCTATCATAGTAGGTTACTGAGGGTGCCTTGCGTTGTGGCTCATGAACTTTACCAATTAACTTTACGACAAAAGATACCATGTCCGGATTCCGCTGCACCTATTTCATTTTGAGCCGTCAGAGTGTGCATGGCTAAGTCTCCGACACGGAAAATCTGGGTGGGATGAATAAGTTGCATTATCGTTGAGTTAACCTATGAACTTTTGGCCGACTAAATACCTTGAATATGGAATGAGTTTTAACACTTACGTCAAATAGGTACGAAGTTGTTTTCAACTTAAATTATTTCAAGTAGTATTTACTTAAAATTAACTGAATTCCATGATAAAAATAAGCATATACTCATTGCTTACATGTGCATAGAAGTCCTAATATTGTTCTACGGTACAAATTTACTTGCCGTCAGTGTTGTTTTGCTCTCAGCTTTGTGGTTTTAGGTAACCCAAGAGGAAGTCAGGTTTAGTTGCGAAGCATTCACCCCCCCCCTTCAAAATGAAGTTGTCTAGAAGGATTGTGTAAACTTCTGCTCAACCCAGAGAATACAGCAACATTCATCCAAGCTATGTATCTTCATTGTCGCAATCTTGTTTCGAATTTTTCGGGCACAGCATCGATATTAAAAATAACTGCATGATATATTGTTGGTTATATTATTTTCATTGTTACTTTCAAAATATTCACCTTACATTATGTATTTTCGTAATGTAGGAAAGAGGTTCAAATCCCTCGGGTGGTGGTCGTCGAAGTGGGAGCAATCGTCAACCTCTCAGTAAGTTTTTTGGGAATTTGAGTGTTTGATAGTAGCCTCAACACTTATTGTGTTTAGTTCTTAACTCTCTTGTTGTCCTATATCACATTATCTTTGTTGCTCGACACTCGTAGAATGAAATCTCGTGTATGGTGTTAGGTGTAATTTATCGCCTGTCGAAATAAGAGAATTATTGGCAGTTATTTGTTACTTGGCTAGTTGATGTGCGTCGGTGGCACAGTGGTTAGGACTCTCGCCGACCATGCACATGGTCCGGGGTTCGAGCCCACACCGACGCACACCTGATATCTATGGTTGGCCTGCAAAATTTGGGCTACCGATATCCATGCTGAAAATTCCATACTTGTACCAAAAATACAGTGTGGAATCAAGCTGTAAATAAAAAAAAATGTCAAATTACCAAGCTAATTTAATCAGATACGCGTAAAATGAAGTACTGGAGAAAACTTGAAAGGTTTTTTTAAGTCATAATAAGCCCATAATAGCTTTAAACTTCCCGATTATGTGATGTCAAAGTACTCTATGCTTAACATCATTCAACTATTTATTCAAATCCAGTAAACTTTAAAATCATGAGAAAAGCGATAAAGCGAGGTTTGGATTTTTTAAATGATGAAAAATCACAGTAAACGAGATCTTTCTCCTTGCCGTTTTATTATGAATGTGCAAAGTCATGTATTTATTGGTGAGAGAATTTTAGAACGGAAATACCTGTTCATCAGTAGCCTTTCAGCGGTACTAAAATTCCTATTGTTCAAGAATTTAGCAAGTTAAATTGTTGCACGTTACTTCTGATTTTTTGACTGAATTATCCCAATTAAGTTCACATCTTAATTGTTATATTTCCTCTTTATAGATCTCAGTCCTCAGCTCGGTTCTGGACACAGTAGTATCTATCCAACTACTTCAAGTGCACCTGCAGTTGGTTCGGGCAGTGTTAATTCTGGACGTTCATCTCAGGTAAGTGTTTATTGTTTTACGAAATATAGGATTTCATAGCTCACTTATTACAACCATACTATGAATCATACAGTTTATTGTATAGGTTAGTCATAATGTATTGCCCTTCCTTATTACTACTATGTATTGGAAAACCAATTTCAAATTATCCAGTTTATTGTAACAATATCTACAAACTGTCATTGAAATTACCTCAAACTGTAAAATTACAATTAGCAGTCTCAAAATATTTCCACTGCAAATGTTCTCTGAATTCATTTTAAAATTGTTTACATATAATTCTTCTTAATTGTTCTACTAAAACTATTATTTAGACCTTAAGTTGATACCTTATTGTTTCCTCATGATCGGTTTTTGGAAACTAATATTCTTTTTAAGTAAAGGTGTGGTTTCCATCACCACTACAGCCATTAAAAAAAAGTTGCTTCATTTAGTTCGACACTGTGTTTTTTTAAGTTCTCTAAATTTGTGGACTGTTTCCAGCACTTCAACGAGCACTGTTTTATTTGTTAAATGTATTCCAGTGGTCGTTGTTTGGAAATGTTGCAGATTTTTCCTTCAAGGCAGGTATTATAGAAATTCAGTTTTTCATATGTTAGTTCACTATTCTTAATAATACGAGATGTCATTGATTAAGTTTCAGTCATCTGTTATTACTGTTTCGATAAAAAGAAGACCAAATTTGCATTATAAACTGTCACTCTATTTCACAGGTTCTTATTAGCTACAAGCTACCTGGAATTACAATGGTTACAAATAATGACAATAACATACTTCAATGTTTGAATGGTAGTAGAGAAGAAATATAGTCACTATTTTTAACCATTGTAATTCCATGTAGTTTGCAGCTTATAGGAATCTTTGATGTAGAATCATATTATTTTATGCCGCAAATATGGTCTTTCTTTCTTTATCGAAATTTATCAAGGGAACCAGATGTTTCAAATTATTACTGTTGTTATTGTCTTTGTCCTCTACGTTTCCTAGGGATTACTTAGTATTCTTACTGTATGTCGAAAATAATTCTGTCTTCTGTGTATCGGTGATTTTACGTAGAAGTGTTCTCTCTAACTACGGTTACATTCGACTGGTAAAGAATATGTCCGTTAAAGTATATTTCTGTATCCAGTCTACCCGTCGATCGGGGTGCAAAAAGTCAAAATTCCTAATCGAAAAATACCTATCAGACTTATCCGTAGTAAAGAATTGGTGCTTATTTTTGACATATTGTCACAGTGGTGATAACTATGTTTACCACTTATTCGAAGAATGAATTGCACTAGGTTCTATTTTAATGAAGCCAATTATTTGTTTCACTATATCATACATGCCAGGAAAACTTGGTAGTATTAGATACACTTGAAAGATGATGTTTCTAAACGGTATCTGTATAGTTGTTAAACTGTGTTTGACAGAGTTGCATAAAACTAAACGGAATAATTAGTTTTGTGATAAACATAAGAGTTTTTTGATATGTGGTTATATCTTAAATGAATGTATTATTCCATATCGTTTTACAAGATACATTTAACAGTCAACTCATTAAATTTGAAACACTACAATTACAAGATATACTAGTTTTTGTTGAAGTACTCTTATTTTGATTTTTGCTTTCATTTTTATAGACATCTGAAGTTTCATCTTTAACTCGATGGAAGCAATCATCCAAAAAGTGAGTAGCATTTTACACTTACGTATTCGAAAATCTAACGCTCAGACATAATTCTATTTGCTACTTGAGTATTACACTAACATTATAATTGTACATTAGATATGTTCATCATGCGGTTGGGGACTAACTCCTGTGGTTTTCCAGTACACTGTATAGCGGTTATCAATGTTTAGAAAGCAGTAGGTTGGTATCTTGGGTAACATCTCACAGGTCGCATGTGTTAAGACTTATATTTCTGCTTTTTTCCCCAATTGTGGTGGGCAAAGGGGACTGGACTTCCATTAACTAGTGGTCAGAATTTAAGAGAACAAATAATCAGGGGATTTACGTAAGAAGAAATCATGTCAAAGTAGATGTGTAAGATCTAATCAGCACAGTAAAGCATCTACTGTTGCTTATCAACCAGTAAACCGAAATCAAAGCCTCATTTTATGCTGTTCAGATTCCTGTATTTTCTGTGTAAATACGACAGTCTTGATAGTGTGCTTTAAATTGCAACCGTGTAATATAATTTTTATTTCCCTGTATTTTCTGTTAATTCATTTTAATTCTAGTACCCAGTCTGGACCGGGCGCATATTCATTCATTGTACTGCCTAACGGACAAACTCGACCATGTGCATTGGCTTCTGCCCCTGGAGCAACTACCGCTCAGGGTTTACCTCGTCGACTTCAGCACCTTGCCAGTTTACCTCATGGTGACGTAGTTTGTGCTGTTACTTTGGGCCCGTGCCCAGTGGGGCGTGCTTCCTCTCTTGCTGCATCTGATCTTGGATCTCGCAACGCTGGGAGTGATACAGACAGTGTAAATATTGGCTCTCCAGGTTCAAATGCTGCTGTCTCAATTCCCTCTCACTTCGCCTACACTGGTGCTCGAGGCAGCGTCAAATTATGGGATCTTGCGTCAATTAGTGCTAGTTCAGCAAGTGCACCACTAGCAAATAGAGATATATCCCCACTTGCCACATTCGACTGTTTATGTTATGACAGTTACGTTAGATCCATCAAACTTTTCCCGGTGAGACAACTGTCTGCTTGTATTTGCATACATAGTTCGATAAAATCCGTTTGTTCTATAAACTTTACTTTTCTTTTCAATTAATTTTAGGATGTCACTGGTCTCATAGTTGGCGGTGAGTCTAATGCACTTACTGTATGGGATTTAAATGGTCCAGGACGACGGAAAGCCGAATTAACTTTTGAAGCACCTGCGTGTTATGCACTTGCTTTATCCTTAGACGGGAAATTAGCATACAGGTAAGTCGTAAATACTAGTCTGAGATTACCTTTCTATATTCGAATGTCTATTTCATCCTTTTACTAACATATCTGTAATACTGAAATTAAGAAGATGAAGTAGTGAATTTAAAATATATATATCCTATACGTCCCCATTACTACCTGCAACGGACAGATGTCGTGTTGTGTGATTATGTATCCTTTATTATTCTTGTATAAGGTTCCGAGTGGAACATGGGACTCAAACAGTACATTTCCACTTCGCCCTATTCTCTGCGGTACTCTTTAGCTGAGCCCACAATTGCCCATAGACTCTGATCTCCTTCTCACACGACCTTCTCCACGTCACCATCGGATAACGCCCCGCTCGTTTCCTATTCGGGTTCCGCCTGACCGATGACCTGCATCCCACCCGATGTCATTCGATGATCTCCTCAGTGTCCCCCCGATACAACTACATTTTCTCCTACATATTGGCTGAGCAAGGGCCTCTTGTTTGGTTTGTTCCTATAGTTTTCTGTTTCCGATTATTTCTGGCTGACCATTTGAAGCAGAAAATGCACTGAATACAGCTGTTGACAAAAGTCTGCAGTGGCCTGTTGGAAACGCTCTTCGTGACGAACGGTGCACATTTGTGAACCACATAAAAGAATTGACTTAAGATTGGTGTTGGGAATCCGAATTTCGTTCTTTACTCTGAATGCAGAAGAATCGCGAAGTGATTTCAGTGTGATGGAGGTCTGTCTCGCCCTTCCGATTCTGGCTGGTTTAGACATCTTGGTCCGTACCGCTTTTATTTGAAACGATGACTCTTAGATAAGTGAAGGAAATGACCTCTTTCAAATTCATTCCGTTGGTAGCGATCGGTGCCGTTTGTTATCGCTGTTGGTTGGTTAGCTTCATCAACTCTGTTCTCTCTATGTCCACTTGAAGTCTTGTCTTCACTGCTTGTTCTTCCAACTTGTTGGTTTTCTCCTACAAGTCTTCGAGTTTGTGTGACATTAGACATAAATCGTCTATGAAGTCTAAATCTTGTAGAGTATTCTTATCGATCCAACCTATTTCTGTCTTCTCGCTTCACACAGTCTGCCACAACATCCAGTCCACCACGATCGAATCAGGATTATCATGGTGATGGTGGTGGACAGTCTTGTCTTACTTGATCTTGTATCCACTTCGGTGGCGTCGTGGAATTTTCCGTTGTGCATCACCTGACACGTGCCATTAATGTCTGCAGGCGTCTATAGAAATCTCTCTTCTTCTTCTTCTTCTTCTCTTGTTCTGCGTCTTTCGCAGCCGTGTAGCATTCGATAATTGCAACCCTGCTTCCTTCTTTTTGAGTTGAATCGTGCTGTCATTACAACACTGCAGGAGGAGATTAGTTCCCAATGCATTAGAAATTTGACTGGTGTTGGTGACATCATGATGATAGCCACACTCACTGCCTCAGTGTGTTCATGTGGGTGTTCGTCTGGGTGACCAGACCGGAGTGGGTTACTGACCTTACATTCAAGTTGACAAATTGGGGAGTCCACATCCATTCCACCTGCTCCCGCAGATTCCTAGCACTTCTATACCATATCTTCTCATTTCTCTGGCAACTTGACCAGGCGTTTCACCCTTGTACATTGTGCTAACATTCCACGTACACATCCTTATTTTTGATTTCATAGGTAGAAGACAACTTATAATCGGCTAGAAAATTAGGGAGCTACAAAGCTTGGCGAATTTGTATATTTTACTGCATTGTTATTAATATCTTGATTGTACCTATGTTTGTTTGCTCATTATTATTTATTATAACTTAAGTTCGCGTGTCATTTCTGCTCTTAGTTGTTGCTCAGACGGTCAGGTCGCAGTGTGGGATGTACATAATCAAAGTATCGTTCATCAGTTTCATGGACATATTGATGGTACATCATGCGTCGAAATTACCCCAGATGGTAATCGATTATGGACTGGTGGTTTGGACCATAAAGTTCGATGTTGGGATATCCGTGGAAATGTAAGTAGATTAGAAATTTGCATATTGTTTTTCTGTATGAGTCGTTGGTGTGAGAGTGATCTTCATCTTGAATAACCAGTATGAACGAGGGATGAGTTTTTTCCGTTATTTGTGTGGTTTCATGGTTAAATTATTGAAAGCATTCCAAAGGACTGTTCTCCAACAGTTTATGCTTGGTACTTGCAGTATCGTCAGTGTGAAGATCATTTTCATTAGTGTAGGTTAGATTTTATTTATCGTGAATATTCAGAGAAGTGAGTGTACACTACCTAGTGGCACAAACTTGTGTATCCTGGGAATATCCTTCGAAGATGTTCACTGTTGTTCTATTTCACTGAATTAAAGTTTCCAACTTGTGACCACCTGTCAAGGTTTGAATATATCTGTAGTTTCATTAGCCTGTCTAGTTAATGGCTTTACCCGTAAACTTGTTTTTGTTGGGCTATATTCATTTGTACTTTATTTACTTTTACTCCCCATCAGTAATTATACTGCTGTTATCTTGAAGTTCATACAAAAATAATATTTAATTATATGCTACATTAATTAACTAGCTACTAGCGGCCTGCCAGTTAGCTGCTACCTCGACATGGTAGTCGGTCTTGCATATCTCAATGATAGTGGTTAGACTGAATGAAAGCAGTTACTGGGATAGTTGTAGTAGTTGCTGGGGAACAGGAATATAACAGCAGTAAGGTGTATCCCTCGGATGACCAGCTGCCTCACCACTCTGGAGAGGGGGAATTAGAAAACGTCGACCCCTAAAATTGTACACTGCGACCTAACCTACAGTGGATCCGTAGCCTGCGGTAAGTTACTAATACAGGAACGACTCTGAAAGCCAGTTCAAGCAAGCTATGTGTGACTGGTCTCAAGCAGTTGTTTCCTGGGCTCTGTGGTCAGGCCAACTAATTCTCCTTCTGTTTCATGTGGATTGACAAAAATCAACTTTCTCGGTGTGGCCGATCGGGAAGTAGCAACCGCCCGCACACTTTGAAAAGCACACACACCTCTCCTGGTCATCATCCACCTTCATCATCTTGCTTTCCTCCTACTGTTATTATTTTTCTATAGACTGGTTTCCCATCTTGTCTTCAGTCTGTGATCGATAGTAGCGATGGGAGCCGAAAAACGCCCCTGATAGTCGTCTCGTAAAGCCAAGCAGCCAACTTCACATAGGAGCATTTAACGTCAATGCTCCTTTGCTAAATCTGAAAACAAGCATCAAATCGCTAGCCAGAGCTGCGACATTTTGAGCCGTGGATGTATGTTGGGTTTTGGAGACACGCATCATACAAGTGTGAATATTCACCTAACCCGATCTGACTAACTGGGTGAGTCTGGGAAATTCATCTTACGGGTGCCGGGAGATTCTTTAGCTAGTTCGTGAGGACTCGCAGGAGTATGAATAGGATTGGGTGGTAGGGAAGAGAAATCCCTATTCGATTGGATTCCGACGGATAGTCTTATGTGTGCTGTCCATCTGAACAGATCCGTTAGAGGAAGGAAGGACTGCGTTACCCATCGATGTTTTTTCATAATCTCCACTTACGTCCCAACCGGCTGCAGTTCCAAAGAAATAAAGGATAAGTTCTATCAAAAACAGTCTAGTTTGCTGCGAAAAGCAAAACTCTCTTACGTAGTTGTTTTAGCAGACCACTTCAATGCCCAAGTAGAGAAGTTATACCCGACTGTGAAGTATGGTGGTGGTACCTACGGAGTTACCTACCAATGAACCAACAACGGCGATTTTCCCCTACAGTTCTGTTTAGATACTCATCTGTTCCTGGTTGGTACTGACTTCAAACACAGAGAGACATCTCGTGACCCGGCGACCACCATCCAATCAACGAAGGACTTAAATAAACCACATAGCGATGAACTGTTGTTGACCACCCTTTCTGCAGCACATGCATAAGCTCTGATCACACACTGGTCCGTCCATGTTTTTGTTTACAACTGGACGGAAATAAAAAGACTCATAAAAAGCTGTTACGCCTCCAACTTGATCAGAACCCCGAGTCTATTTAGGGAGGAAATAGCTAAACGCTTACTGGAGATTGACAGCAAGACTCATCCTGACGAAGCGTGGGAATATCCTTTTCATCTGGATACTGATCCAACTAGCTGTACATGCACTTGTAAAGGCTGTTAATAACCCGAAACCAAAGGTTAGTTAAAGCCAGTGGATTTCTGCTAATTCCTCCGAACTCATAGACACAAGGAGACTGATCTCAGCGGATTCCGAATATGATGAGCGATAACTGCTCAAGCGCAAGCTAACTATGTATGTACTTCTCACTGGTTGGCCTGGTGCTCCTTTTTGCTTGAGATATGACCCTGGAAAGCGTAAGATATGAAGAAACTAGCTCTCTTTTATCATTGGTGTTTGCGTTCTATCTCCTATGTTAACTGGTTAATTATATTGAGGTCAAGCGTCGAGTTTTAGGTAAGGAGAGAGAATCTATGCATGAAGTGATGAAGCTACATAGATTGACGGGTAACGTCAGCTGACATAAGATCAGGTTGGAAAAGAGCGAGCTAGTGTTGGTCAAGCCAAAACACAGCATCAGTCCAGAAAATCTTTAACAGTTAGTTTGAACCATGCAGGGAGGATGCAAACTGCCTCGTTGGGGTCCTCGTTGATTCTAAAAACCAGATGCTCAAGCAGGTTGCTTGTTTCATCCAGTCTGGCTTGTTACCGCGTTTGTAGACATATGGACTTGTATGTGCTCTTTACTACACAAAAAAGTTATCAGTGTGACTGTTATGGAATAAATAAAAAAATTCTATAACTGCTTTTCAAAACGTGTTTATCCTTTAATTTTGTATGCTGAGTCTTTCCTTGAATATTTTATTACTGTAAGTCCTTAATAAAGTCACAGCTCGAATAAATCAGTATTATCATATTTAGATAGCAGATGAAACTTTACCATGTTTCAGATTAAGGTATATGTTTCGGAATATAACGACTACCAGTAGTTATGCTGAATATACACCCTTGAAGGTTTAACATTAGGGATTTGAATAGTTTGTAGATTGATGTTTGTGATTCACTGTTGAACTTTTAAAACAGTTCATTTGCGATTACTTCCGGTTTATATCATACCTTAAATTCATTTTAATTGTGTAAATCTGTAATTTTTTTATTAAGTATTGGTTTTGTAGGGATTTTGTTTGATTGCGTGGTGGATTTAATCATGAGCTGACATCAGTTACAGAACCACTGGAAAACCTGGGAGTATTGGACAGCTGTTTCGTCCTAGTTTGGGACTCTTTTTATTAGTCTTATGATATAAACTGCAGACAGTTAAGCCAAAATATTATCGTATGAAAAATTACTACTGTCCGTCTTTAAAAATTAGCCTAAAGATAATTTTCATGGACCACGATTGTTTCACTTGACAATTGTGACTGCCTTGCGCTAGTAAAGTTAACTGCTTACCTGATGAGATTTTAAACAGGCAGAAAATTTGTTCTTTTCTCATTACAATCGGCGCATATGTTTCATTTTTACGACACTTTGTTCGCATTTAAAAACAACATTTGTATATAAATAGAAATTAAAGGTGATGGGAATTTATTTCATTAAGTGTTATTTTCCTTAGGGCCAATCTAGTTAGTTAAGGTTAATTTGAACGACTTGAAAACTTATTTTTATCTGTTTGTCGATCGATCGTTGTCCGTTTCTCTTGGATTGTCTTATTTACCTTACTTTTCTTCCCTCAAATGCTGAAGTGTTTGTCTGCGTAAATGATTCGTTTTGTTTTTATTTGAGAATGAAAAAAAAGGATACTAATTGTGTTTTTTTTGCTTTTCTTCTTCTGTTCAATCATCCAATCATTCTTCAATTCTCATCAATCCATCGTAAAAATATGTCTATCCTTTCTTTCTCTGTCGTTTTAAGTAATTGGGAATTATTAAAAAGACTCCCCGTAGATTAATTCTATCTTTCACTGAAGAAGATTATATTTGTGCGTGTTGTGAACACGGTAACATTAATATTTATTGATGGCATAATTGTAATGAAAACCGATTTGTTAAGCTTCAATGATTGTCGTCTTGTCTCTTTATGTTCCTGACCAGCTTGGAGTAAATTCTGAACCTGCTATCTATAACCAGTGTATTCATACAGAGACGCATGTTATTTGTAGATGTTATGCTGACTGTTTTGACAGAGGGAGAGAGAGAGAGAGGGTAAACAGAAATTTAATGTTTTCATAGATCATTTTATTTCTTGTCATTACACCTTCACCCCCTGTACGATATTACCCCGGAATCTTCCAGCATTTATACTGTGTCATTTAAATCTACCTCACTCGATTTCATATGTGTAATCATTCAAATGATGTATGTGTCCTCCCCTCGCCCTTACTGATGTGTTTATACGCATAATCGTTGTTGTCTGTCTGCTGAGTGAGTGTCTCTGGTTGCCAACATGGAAAACTATGTTGCCGTTAGCAAAATCAAATTTTTTCACAACTAAAAGACACTAATTCAGAATCGAATTTCTTATTTGTCCGTTTTGTATTTACATTTTTATTTTTGTGTTTATGTTATCTGCAAATTTCTACATGAAAACAAATGGTTCTAAGATATGTGTTTACCCACGTGTGCATGAGTGTGTATATTCAGGAGTTTAAAGAAAATGTAAAATTTAGTATTTACAACTACCCAGCAACGGTCTTATAGTCTTTTATTTGCGTGTGTCCACACACACGCTCAAAGATACCGGGATATAACATTTTTCTGACGTTTTTCTCCCGTGGATTCATAATTATAAGTTTAATTGAATATTAGACGCTGTTCCTTATCGTTCATACTTATCACGTATTCTCCTAAGCATTCAACTTTTCGTCGGTAGCTCCTGAACAAGAGTCCCGATCTTCCTGGCACATAAAAAAATCTCTTCTGGGTCTTTACTCTTACTCCTTTGTTTCGAGGAAGTATGGATTTGCGAACTACTACTCCTGAATGCGATCAACACATACGTTTTATTTAGACTTCCTACTTTTGCACTATTTTAAGGTGCATAATTAACGTAATATTCTTCATAATTCAAAATATTTTTTATCTGAATTTGCAGTTGCTAATAGTCTTCAATCCTACTTTGTTTCTTTTCTAGCCTTCACGGGATGTCTATCATATTGAGTTCAAATCACAAGTCTTTTCACTTGGTTTATCTTCACATGTAACTTCTAGCAGTCGACAAGCTGAGTCTGTGTCTCCAGTGTCAGTGGATGGAGAATCTACTTCTAGTGGCGGTGGAGCTGGGGCAGGTAACCGAGATGCAGCCAGTCCGCAGTCATTCGTCAGTGGAAGTACTAAGTTATCGTCAACAGAAAGTTGGCTAGCCGTAGGTTTGGAGTCATCCGAAGTAGAGGTATTGGCTATCGGACCAGACGGGCCACCTGTTTCAGCATTATCCCTCAATTACAATATGTCACGTGATGAATCTGGGAGTGGTAGTGGTAATCCTTCCCCTATACCTCATCCTACTAGTTCCAACCAACCTCAACATTTTCGTCTAACTCATCATGAAAGTTGTGTTCTCGCTTTAAGGTTTGCACATCATGCAGACTGGTTCCTTACAACAGGAAAGGATCATCAAGTCAATGCATGGCGCACTCCGTATGGTGCCTGTCTACTGGAGGTATGTGATTTTACTAGGACTGTATATTTAATAGAATGTTTTGTATTCTTATTGACGTGTCTGAAGATTGTCCCCAGTAGTATACATGCATCCACACCTAGTGGTTTTAAAATCTGAACATTGTTGTTTCTCGGTTCAATTTTGTTATTTGTAGTATCCTTGTGTCTCTCCTCTTGTTTTATGTATGCTTTTCTAAAGAGTGACTACAGTGTGATACATCGTTCATACCTCACCATTGACTCCTGTTTTCTGTTGGGTATTTACAAACTGGTATGCATCTTATGGTGCGTCGGTGGTACAGTGGTAGAGTGCTCGCCGACCATGCATATGATCTGGGGTTCGATGCCCGACTGACTCACTCCTTTACGTCGCTGAACCTGTAATACGATTGGTGAAGAGGGGAGGTTGAATGAACGTAAGGCCAGTAACCTCATCCCGTAAAAAATAAAGCACCGCTGCTACCAAAACTTCAAGTCTCTAGCTTGAAGCCCTATGTTCCACTGGAAACGTAAAGGAATAAAAAGAAAAATGCATCTTACGAGTTATTATTGCTCTGGCTCAATGGCTGTGTTTTTTAAAGGTGTATGTTATTAGGTTGATCTGTAAACGAAATAGTTTTTCGTAGCCAAACACAAACTGTATTAACTCTGGAGTTTTGATTAAGGTGCATTCTTTATGTGTCAATTGGTCGGTATCCGATAGGTTCGTATTAATGAATTAATAAAACCAATACAGTGAAATCTTGACGAGAGTCTTTGTTGTATATCACGTAGCTGGTTGGTCACTGTTAGAATACTTTATGTGATGCTATGGATCATTGACTCAAGCATGTAGTTGTTCAGTAACATCTCAGCTTTCAAACGCTGTTATGTATCTGGAATTTCCTGCTGAAAATTCATTTCTTTAGAGAAAATTGAACGTAAGAGTATTAAAACTCTGTGTCATGCAAGCATAAGTGCTGTCTTTACAAGAAAACGTCGGCTGGTGACAGTTGACCGCATTAGTGTGGATCTTTTCGTCTCAAATAACTATGCTATTACTAAGATTTATGGCCTTGACATTGTGTATGTGTTGTCCAGTTGTCACTAAGTTACCTGGAACATGTACTGGACCTATTACAATTAATTAATGGTTGGAAATTTCATTATTTTATGGTTTTAATCAAAATGAATTAATATTTTTGAAATTGAACCACTTTATATACCTTTTATAGACAAAGGAGGCTGCGTCAGTTTTAACGTGTGACATATCTTTGGATGATAAATTTGTAGTTACTGGTTCTGGAGACAAACGTGCAAATCTGTACGAAGTTATTTTCGCATCTCAACGATAAAACAATGATCACATTCCTTAACCATTATGCAACATTCAATTCTAAATGTGTTTCTTCCTTATGATCTGCAAAAAACGGCTTTGATGTGGAATATTTGCCGCAGTGTATTTTCTATCTTAATAATAATATTAATATGAATTCAACTGGTTATTTGTTTTTACTACTTATTCATTCTCATTTACTTTTATTACTATTAATGTTAGTGCTGTAATGCTATCATTACTTTTATCCTTATTCTTGTGCAATGCAATTTTATTCTTTTTTCTTTTTTTTTTCTTGATCATCCTTTAATATCGTGAGATGATAGCATTCAATAATATACACATATGTTTATTCCCTGGATGATTGATTACAAGATGCACAAAATTTCCTCATTCCCCCTCCGTCTCTGTATGAATAATTTTTTATTATTTGTTTTGACTCCTCACCTGTTTAGTATAACAATTATTTTTACTCACTCGTATTAATTAATGACTTGTCTACATACTAACGCATATAATTTTGTCCAACTGACCGCATTTACAATGAATAACATTATTATTATTTAAACATTTTAGTCTATTTAACTAGTTTATATATATACTCAATCATTTGACTACAGTTATGTCAGCCATAATGATCTTAACCTGTGGTGGTGCATATGCATTTATGCGCCCACTCTCCACTCATCCATTGTCCCAGGAATCTTAGTGAATGCTATCTATCACTGTCCTGTTTATTTACACATTAAAGCGTTGGTGTTATGTTGTGTATATAGTCACATGAATTTATTATGGGATATCATTCAAAAAATGGAATGTTTCCTTTTTTTCTACTTGAAGCAAAACCTACGTCAGTATACTTTTGGTTTTCTTCATAGTGTGTCAATTAATGTACTACTTCTTGGGATTTCCTTATATGTATCTGTCTGGTTGTTTTTCTTCTTTGTTTCACTGCATTTATAATGAATTTTCTTATTATTATGATTTTCGTTAATAAGTAGTAAATTTTCATCTTATATACGTTTACTCCATTTTATTCACTCTGATTTCTAGTTAACTGTATTAACTCTTATTCCTCCGTATATATAATAAAGATACATAATTGTCTAAAAACGTATCCAACATGTCTAATCCAGTCTCATTTTGAAGACATATCTTGTATTAGCAAGTCATTTTGTCCAAAGAATACCTTCAGTGGTTCTGTTATACTCTCTATCTAACCATCCATCTCAATTCATTTTATATATATCTTACGTCTTTATGCCTATATATATATATATATATATATATATACCTCTTTTTTAGTGTCTTTTACCCGATTGTGATTGTTGCGTTTAAAACGTAACTGTCAATTTTCAACCCTTATGCTCATAGATTTCTTAATGTTGTTAGGTAACAATTATTCTCTGTATTCTTCGCAACAATTTATTGATTTGTAGAATGCAGTAAATAAAACAATTATTGCTTATCTGAGTACAGGCTTTTTATATAGAATCCGCTGAGATTTGGAGTACACTGTCTTAGCTTTCAGTGGTCATGTTAAAATTCCACTGAATAAATATTCGCCTACACTATCGTTTAAATTCTTAAACTACACCGCTAGAGGTCCTAGAATGTGCATGGTCGGCTAGCGTCCTAACCGCTCTACCACCTAGTAATAATAACTGATAAGCTGTCTTTTACTGAAACCGAATTATGTTTCCTAGTGTATGTAGCAGCTTTGGTTGGCATATCACTATACCGCTGGGAACAATATAAAGTTCATTCACAAAGAACAACGGTTTGTAGCCATTTACGTGGTTTGAGAAGCGGTACTTGTGACCTTCATATACCTCATGACAGAGTTTCAATGCTTGAGCATCTGGTTTTTAGAATCAACGAGGACCCCAACGAGGCAGTTTGCATCCTCCCTGCATGGCTCAAACTAACTGTTAAAGATTTTCTGGACTGATGCTGTGTTTTGGCTTGACCAACACTAGCTCGCTCTTTTCCAACCTGATCTTATGTCAGCTGACGTTACCCGTCAATCTATGTAGCTTCATCACTTCATGCATAGATTCTCTCTCCTTACCTAAAACTCGACGCTTGACCTCAGTATAATTAACCAGTTAACATAGGAGATAGAACGCAAACACCAATGATAAAAGAGAGCTAGTTTCTTCATATCTTACGCTTTCCAGGGTCATATCTCAAGCAAAAAGGAGCACCAGGCTAACCACTGAAAGGTGCACACATCCTTTGATCGACAGCCGGATACTACGTTTACGCCAGAGATGATGTCAGTGGGCAAATGCCACACGAGTCTTTGGTATCGTTGCTGAAATTTCTTCAGCGATTAGCCCATTACGGCTGATGCAACCTCCAAAATAAATGAAGTAGTCAACACTCTATTTTTAAGCTAGGAGTCGATGTAGTCTAGTCCTGTAGCATCATCTTACATCTGAGAGGAGCTGATGACATGCGAAACATTCTAAGGTTGCTTCTCAAGATGCTCAGAATACTGCATTTTACCGGCGTCTTCACATGGGAGGGAGGACAATATAATCCTCATATTCAAAGGCAACGAGACTATTACCTGGTAACAAACCGCTCCCTAAGTCGCTGAAATCAGTTAGGGCTGATTCCACTATTACCTTTATGATGAAATTAAACAAATGGAGACTGGGCATCTCTGGTAGACAAAACTGGTAGTCATCACTTCAGATGATTACTCTCCGTAAGCTCTTACACAGCTTCATGGGTTCGAGTAGAGTGCCTTGATTAATGTGACTTGTTGTGTCAGTATTCCCTTTTCAGCGAATCACTACGACCGCACATTCTGGTCAAAAGCCTCCTTTGGATCAAAAAATAATGCAAGTGTGTCTGTGTTCTCGAATCTGTTGAAAAATGAAAATTCCCAGACAGCACTTGGCCACCACCGTCCTTAAGAACTTCTGGGGTAATCCCACCAGGTCCTGCTGCTTTGCCTCGTTTCAATTTAGAGGTGGCCTTTGCAACCTCAGTTACAGAGGGGGAATCGTTGTCGGCATTATGTCAGTTAGGTGTTGGGTAAGTTTAACGTGGCTGTAAACCACTCAGGTTGCTCCTCAGAATACCTATTCCAACTTTCCACTCGTCTATCCTGAGAGTTAACTGGAGCTCCACTTTCCTCGGAGATTGTTTAACCTATCATTTACCTTTCGCCACCTGTTTTCGCGATAAGTGTAAACGTCTGTTGTTGACTATCACCGACATGCTCAATGGAAGTAGGATGAAAGTCTTTGGGTTTGAAACGAAACTGTCTCGCAAATATTTTTGTATTGATTCTAATAAGCACAGATAATAAACTTTGTGTTTATTATTTCTATACTCTCCAGGCGGCTGTTTATTATCTATTACGATTTTATCATGAATACTTCTAGGCATTCGGGTGGCTCTCATCTCCCAAGTGGTCTAGTCGATAACGCTTTGGTGTTTGAAACTATGGGCACTGGGTTCGAGGCTCGGTGGGAACACTATCACTCTCTGGAGAATGCAAGTACATCCAGCTGGCGAGTCCCAAATAGAACGAAACGCGCATCTTTGATTCCACTGCCAGTCACCATCCACCAATTAAATTCTAAATACTTGTAGGCATTTAAAGGAGGAGGAATTTATTTTTAGTCAGAATGGTATTGCTATAGTTCTACTTGTAGCATTCGACAAAAGAATATTTCATGTTTGTCTTTCTATTACTGTTGTATCTACACCTGTAGGTCAATGAGTTTGTTATTCAGATCTCACTCAGTCTGGTTTGCTTACTCTCTGGAAATCGATATGCGAATTATTCGAAATGTCCTAAATTTATGTGAGATTCTGAGAAGACCCAAAAGTTTTCATGGAACTGATAACATAGTTGAAGTTTGATATGATTCCAGAAGTATAGACTTCAATGAGTGAACCCCCCTCGCTTAATTCTTTTCCATTACATTGCACTTTAAGGTATTGTACTTGAAATTCAAAACATTATGTGAAATGTACTTTAAGACCATAAACCTAGACAATGAGGATAAAATATGCATTTGATTCAACAGGATCATAAGTATTTAAATGAATCACAAATCTCAAAAGCCTCAGCTAGGTCAAAACTCCGCTAGTTTTTTAGGCGCTCCTAAGTTGAGGAAAAGAAAGAAGGTCGGGTGTTGGGCTAGAGAACCCAATCCGCAAAATCAATCAACCTGCTACAGAAACTTCAATGCGCAGCATTAAAAACAGAAAAAAACGTCCGAATGTACAATTTTAGGGGTCGACGTTTTCTAATTCCCCCTCTCCAGAGTGGTGAGGCAGCTGGTCATCCGAGGGATACACCTTACTGCTGTTATATTCCTGTTCCCCAGCAACTACTACAACTATCCCAGTAACTGCTTTCATTCAGTCTAACCACTATCATTGAGATATGCAAGACCGACTACCATGTCGAGGTAGCAGCTAACTGGCAGGCCGCTAGTAGCTAGTTAATTAATGTAGCATATAATTAAATATTATTTTTGTATGAACTTCAAGATAACAGCAGTATAATTACTGATGGGGAGTAAAAGTAAATAAAGTACAAATGAATATAGCCCAACAAAAACAAGTTTACGGGTAAAGCCATTAACTAGACAGGCTAATGAAACTACAGATATATTCAAACCTTGACAGGTGGTCACAAGTTGGAAACTTTAATTCAGTGAAATAGAACAACAGTGAACATCTTCGAAGGATATTCCCAGGATACACAAGTTTGTGCCACTAGGTAGTGTACACTCACTTCTCTGAATATTCACGATAAATAAAATCTAACCTACACTAATGAAAATGATCTTCACACTGACGATACTGCAAGTACCAAGCATAAACTGTTGGAGAACAGTCCTTTGGAATGCTTTCAATAATTTAACCATGAAACCACACAAATAACGGAAAAAACTCATCCCTCGTTCATACTGGTTATTCAAGATGAAGATCACTCTCACACCAACGACTCATACAGAAAAACAATATGCAAATTTCTAATCTACT